CCGCGCTGTTTAGGCCGGAGCCCATTGCGCTCCCGTGATTATTTTGTTGGAATCGAAAAGCTATCGGAGCCGCCCGCCTGCAGTTTGTCAATCTTCGCCGCTCCACCGGCGGTTCCACGATGCAGGCTGCAGCTCACAGAAGAATGCTTGTTAGTTTACGTTTGATTTTAGACTTGGACTGCTGGAATGCCCTGGGGGACCTATGTGACGCATACATGCGATGGTTATCATGTATTGTGCGCTTCCTCGCGGAACGTTTATTATGCTAGGTCATCAGGGGTCGAATGCAATGTCATTTACTACAATATCTTTAGCGGCTGGAGCAAATATTACACGATATCACGTAAGAATGCAATGCTAATCCATCCTTGTTTGGCTAATGCGATGTAATCCATGGTCGCCTTGTGGGGTCGGTTCGAAGGACGTTCCGTTGTTGACGTAGTTACAGCATGCTTCGGGGCGGAGACAGTTTGCCTTCGAGCCGGGCTGTGACGGAGGCTGACTGGGGCACCGCCTCGTCTCCTCCTGATTGCTTAATCTTCTCCCTGTTTCCCCTTTTTCCCGACATGCTTGTCGTACCAAAAGCCCTGGGGCCAATGGGGGGGGGGGGGGGGAGGGGCTTCGGAAAACAAGTCAAACCTTTGTGGAGCGCGCCTCGACTGACCAGGCCCGGCCGTCGGCTGTCTACTGATGCTGGAGATGGCTGATGTGATCCAGCTACTGCTCGACTGACCAGGCCCGGCCGTCGGCTGTCTGCTGATGCCGGAGACGTCTGATGTGATCCAGCCACGGCTCGACTGACCACGGCCGGGTCCAGTGGGCGCTCCGTTATGACGCCGCACGCGTCCAACACAAACAGTTCCGGGTTGCGACGTTGGCAGAAGAGCATCGGCCGGACCCCGGGCCCCCCCCCCCCCCCCGGGCATCACTCTCGGACCAGCGTCGCTGCAAGCGTGATCCCCGATCGAGGCAGCGCGAGGTTCTCAAATCTACGGGTGTCAGGCATCAGGGCAGGGTGTCGGATGTTAGGGCAGTCGGGGCAAATGTTAGGGCAGGGACGAATTCAAAGAGGAAAGAACACCGGGGCACGTGCCTCCCTCAACAAATATTTACACGTGTTCCGTGAGTGGGTGTCGCGCGTGAATGAATGTGGCGGGTTTAACAGCTCATGGTCTTACGGATGGGACGGGACGAAACAATTTTTTGCACCACCTGAAGCAAGTGAACTTGGTCGTACTACGTCTCGTTTGCACAGAGTATTGACTCGTCGTGACGGTAGCGAAAGGGATGGAGCGCATTATGGGGCTGTAACTTTTTTGGAACTACTTGAATAGAGTTAGAACGCGATGGTTTACGTGAAGCGTTGTCATCCCGCCATTGAAAAAGAACAGTGAAGTTTTGGCTAGCCAGAGAACCAGACCAGTAAGATTCTTTTCAAAACGTGCAGAAGAGATTATCAGAGGTGTAGTTTTCATCAGTCAGTCTCAGTCATAACACCAATTTGGAACGTGACTTGTGCGCACGGCCTCTTCGGCTGCTCCTACAACTCGGCACTAGCGACTGCGTGGTTAGTTGCTGTATTTTTTTTCATTTTTACAAAACATAACGTAATGCAACACCGTGCACAGGCGATGGAAAACCAATCCAACTCTGCACAACTGTGGACAACTGTTTCTCGGTAGCGACATGGCAGGCTAGGCCTGCAAATTTCAAAGGCCAATCCACCGCATTCTACATGGCGACATTTGCAAGTCGGCCCCGTATCAGGTACCCAGCCCGGCGGCCGGACCGGGCCGGTGAGTCATGCAGGAACCCAGCCTCTTCCGGCGATGGTATCTGAAAAGCAACACTGCCTCCGAGTCCTCAGAGTCCTCGGAAGCCTCGTCAGACGCGACCCGTTCGGTGGCTGCTGTTTATCAGCGAGCGGTGTGGCAGGTAGCGGCGTATGCTTCTCGCTTGGCTGCATTGGCCGCCAGCATACACTGGCAGCTGTCGTCGTCAGCACACGCTGGCAGCTGTCGTCGTCCGCACACGCTGGCAGCTGTCGTCGTCAGCACACAATGGCAGCTGTCGTCGTTAACACAGAAAGCTATCGTCAACACGCACTGGCTCACCGTCAGCACACAGTGGCAGTTATAGTTGTCAGCACGCTTTGGCAGTTGCAATCGTCAGCACGCACTGGCAGTCGTAGTCGTCAGCACACACAGCCATCGTCAGCACACTAGCAGCTGTTGTCAGCGCAGACCGGCACCTGTCGTCATCAGCACAGACTGGCAGCTGCACCCGCCGTAGGGCTAGGACAGCCCGAGCAGCGGCCGCTGACCGTCAGACGCCAGTTGTTGACAGTTGACAAATCGTGTCGAGCGCCGAACCACCGATCATAACCGCACCCGCGCCTTACGGATCCGGTAAAAACCGTGGTCCGGTCACGTGATCCCCTGGCCGCTGTGGCGGCGTCCCAGAAGCCCGCGGTCACGTGCGGCCGAAGGCGCGGCGTGGCGGAGTCTGGGTGTGGGTGGGAGCTGATAGCGAACGATGACGTCACTGGTTCAATTTTGTGCACTGTTAGACAGGTGTGTCCGAAGCCCTCAGAATTAAAACGTTTGAATCTTGTTACTTGCCGGGAGTAAAGTGTTTGAATCTTGTAACCCGCCGGGAATCATCCAAGTAACAAGATTCAGACGCAGCAGACGGGTTTTTATGTTTAAAGCGTGGAACTTCGTAAGAATTTGAAAGCAAATCAGGTGAAGTGTTGTAGCAAGCAAAACATTGTTTTTAATGTCGTCAACCGTATCATCATGATCCGTCTGTCAAGTGTGGTCGGTGGGTATGTATATCCGGCCCGGTACAGAAAAAACAAGGTTTTTACAAGCAAACGCGCAGTGATGTAAAACATTGCATAACACGTCAGTCAGCGCTAATTCGATTAGCATAATCTTTGCATGTGAGAACGTGGCCAGTGACGTCACTGGCTGATTCGATCGGAGCAATGTTGGCAGTTCATAATGGACAGCGCTTTGTGTTTGACAAATGGCCATGACGTCACTGGCTCACTCGATCGGAGCAATGTTGACAGCTCGTAACGAACAGTGATTTGTGTGTAACAGGTGGCCAGTGATGTCAATGGCTCAATCGATCAGAGCAAGGTTGGCAGCTCGTAACGGGTTGTGTTTTGTAAGTGAGATCTTGGTTGTGACGTCACTGGCCTACTCGATCGGGGCAAGGCTGGCAGCTCATAACGAATTGTGTTTTGCATGTGAGAACGTAGCTAGTGACGTCACTGGCTCGCTCGATCAGGACAAGGCTGGCAGCTTGTAACGGACAGTGCTTTGTGTGGGACGAGTGGCCATGACGTCATTGGCTCACTCGATCGAGGCAAGGTTGGCAACTCGTAACGGACCATGCTTTGCGTGTGAGAGCGTGACCAGTGACGTCACTGGCTCACTCGATCGGGGAAATTTGGTAACTCCTAACGGACCGTGCTCGGCAGCGTGTCTCGCGTGCTGGGGCACACTGAGCGGCTCAAAATACGTCATCAGCTAACTTCGATCAGCACAACACGTGGCAGGGTCGCTATTGCGAGTCATTTTCGCGAGAGGTGTGTTTCTCCAAGCAAATCAGTCCATTAGCTCCTCCCGAATATGTATGATTTGATTTATCTTTTTTGCTTCGCTCGTTGTGAATTCATCTGTATGATTCCGTGCGATTCCAACATTGACGAGTCCCGGAAAGCACGAAAGGCATGACATGCACCAGAGCTCAGCACGTAGGCGGCAACTCTCACGACCCCGTCAGCGCACCCACAGAAAAGGGGCCGTGACATGTACACAAGCCCAAAGTCGGCGTACGAGGCATCGCAACTCGACCATACGTGCTCCTGCGAACCTGCACGTAAACCCGCGCTCGAGCCCAAACTGCAGGCAAGACCGGCGATCTCGAGAGTGCCCAATCATACAGCTAAAAATGACGCTGTTTAGATCGGGTGCATGTGTACGTGACTAGCGCAATTTTATGGATGCCTAGGCGCAGTGTAGTATCCGTTTACACAACTCCTTTACGCGCAGTGTGAGCTACTTAAGCTAAGGCCGCTTGTCACAGTCCGCTACGGTGGCAAAGCTTTTGAGCCGCAGCTGCGTTTAATCCGACTGGTAGTATCCGCCAGCAAGGCTATGGAAAAAGAGGTCCACTGTGTGGCGTCTGATTGTTATCGTCTGGTGGTCCCCTTTCATCAGTGTCACCAGCAAGGCCGTGAACTGAAATGCTGAGACAGGAGCACAGAAACCCGACCGTGAAGGGGGAGGGGGGGGGGGTACAAAGAGACGCTAACCCCCCTTCAACTTTCCGCAAACGTAGCGTTGGCCCCATGGTCTTTGATCAGAAAAAATTGTCGGTACTCGCGTGTGCAACAGGAAAACCTACACTCGGGGTTAGTGAAACAGGACGCTTTGAGCTACCTTTAAGTACATGCCTGTACCGTCACGGTACAGTTATTATGCCGGTTGCGCAACGTGAATAAAATTCTGGTGATATGGAATGCACGTACCCATGCAAAACAGATGTGTGATGCCTGTTTCGAGATAAACATGAGCTAAAACGGAGATAAGAAACTGCCTAGAGATTGAGGTTGGAAGAAAGGTGCAAAGGATGTTTGCATTCATCTCGGAAGATTTGCGAGCTGGACTTGTGCAAATAAAAATATTCTCTAAAAACATTTGATGCCTTGTGATGGTTTATTGATGATTGTGGCACTTTTGATTACATAATACCCTTTATGCATTACAAGGTTGTAATTTTAAGTGCGAATTAAACACAACCTAACCTAGATAGATTGACTGACGCCGCTGCTCGTCTAAGATCTCACCGATGCCGCTGCTCGTCTAAGATCTCACCGACGCCGCTGCTCGTCTAAGATCTCACCGACGCCGCTGAAGTTCACAGGTCAGCTGTTGATCTACCGCAGCGGCGATAACCCCAGCGCCCCTTGCGTCTTTCCAGAGACGCCGCGGCGATGCCTGACCTCGTGACGTGACCTGACCCCTGACCCGGTCGCCATGGGCTCCAACGGGGACGTCTGGATGAACGGCGGCAGCGGCGTGCTCCGTAGCGACTCGGTGCCGTCCAGCACGCTGGGCCGGCGCAGGACGAAATCCGGTGAGTTCGGCGCGGCGCTGGCAGCGTGCCAACCGTCGCAGGGGGGGGGGAGGGGGGGAGGGGGGGGGGGGGGGCACTGGAGTGCTGAGCGCGCCGAGCTGAATCTCGCGTGACCTTGCCAGAGCAGGTGCGGCTTGGTCGATTGCGTGCCTGACCGTGCCTTCGCAATGCCGCTTCGTTGCAACCAGTTGACGTGGTTAGCTGTGTTCGGTGCTGCCTAGCGGCGAGAGCCGAGCAGCCTGAGCAGACCCTCAATAGATGCTGACCTCTGCTTGAGCCCACTGGAGGTTTTGAATGACACAAAATTGTTAAAACGTTCGCAATCGATTTTTGTTATGTGTGTGTGCGTGTGGGTGTATGTTGCACGTGTATGTGGCCGCAAGAACCCTGGATGCCCATCCTTCCCAACCACCACAAAGTCTTGTCCCAGGCGCGTACCATTGTTCACTGCTGTAGTGGCAGAGACTTGTCCTGCGCGAGTGTGAGGGCGTTTTTAAGACGTACTTTCCTTGCTTCGGTGCCAGATCTTATTCGTCTAAGCATAGGCAAAGGAGGTAGGGGGCAGAAGACAGTCCCGACTCTGTGCTTCAGTTTAGCATTAGCTCTACGCTGTTGCGTGAGACCAAATGCCAGCCATTTGATTTGGTCGTCTCCTCCTCATTCTCTGGCGTTTGTGCTCTGCCAGGCGTGAAAGAACGCCATCACTCACGCGGCCGTAGCCGGTACAAGCATCGATAACAGCCTGGAAGCCTGTAGATGTCGGCCCAGGCGCCGGGCCTCATACGGACATGTGTCCCCAATCGTCGGATGTCCTGCAGCTTTAGCGACCAATCAGATGCGGTTCCTGCAGCTCCAGCGACCAATCAGATGCAGCGCCGCTTGCTCGCCATCTCTGCTGGTGCAGCGGATCCCTGTGACCTTGACCGCACGTGATCAGGCCGTTTCCGGGTGACTGACGCCGGTCAGCTGGCGACCAAGCCAGCGAGAATAGTCGTTAGAAATGACGCCAGCATAGAACTTTGAAATGGGCCAGGGCTCTTATAGCGGGTGACGTTTGTATTGTTAGCAGGTCGTGTGCGTGCATGCAAATGTGAACATGAAATTTGGTGCTTTGAAATGTTTCTTTGCTGGATATTTTTTGCCACACACGTGCTGTATCAGGTCAAAGTTCGGCAAAACAGCGGTTATGAATTTGACGGAGAGATTAAGGTGACCTAAGTATTATTTTTAAGTATTGTTTAGGATTTAGTATGTAAGTATTAAAATTAGTGGTACGGCTGCAATAATTGTTCGAACTTGTCTTCGTCTGGCGTGACAGCTTGCTCACGATGCTGCGGCCAACCAACTCCCCTACCATCGTCAGGTGTTACGGAGTCCTGAGAGGGGCTAGATGGCAATTGCCTTTCAGTTAAGCACGCGTCGTATTCTGCCTTGGGAATGCCGAGATCTGAACCAGGGTTTTCTCGTTGCGAGTCCAGTGTTCTACCAACTGAGTCCTTTGTAGTAGCTCAGTTTCTTGGTGATTGTAGTAAGTGGAGCGCTAAATTAACAATCAAAAACCCTGGTTCAAAATCAAGGATTCCAAGAAAAGAATTTGGTTTGTGGCGCATAAATGGCTGATAGCCCACCATCCTCCAGTCTGTTTTAAGACCTCATACCACCTGATGACGGCCGCAGAGTTTGACTTCCAGTCTTCAACTGGTGTAAACGTGACGTGCATACTAATATACCAGACGAGGACGACGATTCGCGCATTAATCCATCCGTGAAATGCCAGTAAGCCGTTTTATAGCTGGACTCAGTCGTACACTTGGGTCATTTCAGGGTTATGGGTTAGACACACAATGCATAAGAAGCGGGACAATTCGAATTCTAGTCTAAATGAAACACGCGTTTCAATTTTTGTCACGTAGCCTGAGTATCGGCCGCCTGCACGTCTCCGTGTGTGCTTCGACAGAACGCGACACCGGGTACCTGGAACACGGACGGGGGTCAGAGGTCAGGGGCCAGAGGACCGCGCTATTGGTCCGGACTGACCGCTTGGTCACAACGGACACAGTCACACTGTGTTTGCAATTCAGCCACCTTGATCAGGCCGATGGAGTGTTCGTGTGAGGGACAAATGTCATGTCGGAGGATGTTTTATCAACGGCAAAGCCTGCGTTCTCACCAGTCATCGTTACGTCCGTTACATACGTTCTGCCATCTTAACCAGTCCAGGACAGGCGTGTGTTTGTGGATCTTCATGTGCATTCCTCACACCTTCTGCTAAGTATACATTACTGCAGGCGTATGCTCATGGGTTGTGCTTAATTGCATTGGACAGAGTCAGACAGGCGACATCACATTCGACAGCTGCTCTTATGTTTATGATAACCATGTCCGTGGCATGTTCCGTGAAACATTTACTCGCTGCGATCCACGTCGTAATGCAATCGGTCATTCTTACCACAGCAAACACCATGTGGTGCTTTTGTAAGATGTCAACAGAGAGCAAGAATATCGAAGGGAAATTGTGCCTCTTGGGGATTGTGGCATGTTTATCTACACGACTGCCACCATGATCACACTTAACTTGGTCACATGAGGTTGTAAGAGGATGATACGCTACTGATACCAGGGTCTGGTATTTATTTTATGCAGTTACAAATTTCAAAACAATCTGAACTATCACTCTTGGTGCCCGGTCGTATACGCCACGTTGATACGATGTCATGGTTCGTATTTACCCAGCACGCGAACCCAACCGAAAAGACTGTAACCTGTCTCCAACTCGGACGTCGACGATGGCCGATGTTAAATATCACATGTCGTCGATAGATATTGGTCAGCCTGAGTCAACAGGCACGTGGTGTTCGTGTCGCAGTCCGTCTTTCACGTTCTACGCGCTTGTGCTGGCGGTTTTCCTTCCAAGCTTCCGTCTTTTTCGTATTTTCATTCAGTTGCGTCTTGCATCCTGTGCAAGCATGTGCTGACTGGTTTTCCACACAGCCTGTCCTTTTGTTTCAGGTCCCAAGCGGGTGACCTTCAAGCTCGAGTCCGAATCCTCGCCGACAGATGACACTATCTCCTTTGCCGAAGCGCCTGCCGATGGTATGCCCTCGTGGTGGCCCCGCCCTGCCGACCCGGGTCTGGGTCAGACGGCCGTGCAGACTGCTGGGAGGCCCGCTCAGCATGCGCAGCCGTCGACAGCACCCTCGTTGGCCGCGACACCCCTGGCGCCCATCCACGCACCCACCGCAGCGACGCCCGCGCCACTTGAGGACCGGAAGGTCGTGTCCGGGTTGCTGATCGGTCAAGGTCACCCGGTGGACAGTGCGGTGTGGTATCCGAGTGTGAACGGGTCCGGGAGCTCTCCCCGGCCTGCAGTTGCGGCACCTGCGTCAATCGCAGGCCACAACGAGGGCGGAGGCTCCGCGCCCCCACCAGTCACAGCGCAGAACCACTACTCGTCACCGCGCGCACCTATCGGGTATCAGGTTCCGCACTCGGGTCGACCGGTCTCTCCAATCGAACGTCACGGAACACCGATCACCCAGCCAATGGCCAGCGGCCAGCCTCTTGTGCCTTCGTGGTGGCCAAAGACCTCCTCTAAAGAGCCTCAAAGCCAGCCGGAGCCCGAGTACTACGATAACACCTCGGAGGAGTGGCATGCGAGGAACTCGCGGCCGGCAATCCCAGCTCGGCTCCCTCCAGCTCCCAGCGTCGGTGTCACGGAGCTGACGTCATTGAACGCCGTGGCCGGCCAGCGACAGTCCGTGCGCGTCGGTGGCGGCCCTCTAGCGGCGGCCGGCGGCCCTCTAGCGGCGACTGGTGGCCCCCTGGCGGCGGCTGTCGACGGCAGGCCCTGGGAGAGGCCGCTACCCGCAGTGCCATCTGGCGAGCGCGGACAGTCCCCAGACAAGTCATCTAGTGACCGGAGGTCGTTCCCGGATCAGCCAATTCTCACCCCTTCTATCACGGTCAACCATCCGTCGCTCATCAGCGCCCCGCAGCCGAGTCGCGTGGGGTTCTTGGGGCCACCGCCAGATGTCACCGCCGGCGCCAGCTCGCCGAGCGTCACATCAACGGAGGCCGACTCGACACACCCGAGCGAGGAGGATTTCCTGCACCTCTCGCCGTCGCCAGCCCGACGCCCCACGTCCGCGGTGGCCCGTGACGTCAGCGGTGACGTCACAGCTGACGTCAGCGGGCGGCAGCAGAAGCCGACGCGCGTGGAGTCCGTCTGGAGCCGGTTGCTCTGCACGGCCTCCGATGGAGCTGCGGAGAAGGACGCTGAGGAGCCAGCGGGGCTGCAGGGCCGCTACCGGGACACACTGGCGAGGAGGCCGGCGCGGGTGGTCACGTCTCCGCCGCCGCCGCCGCCGCCCCCTCCCGCCCAGCGTCAGCCCACGCAGCAGCCGCAGGGACAGCAACAACATGAAGGACTTGCAATGCAGCAGCTGCGACAAGAGCTTCAGGAGCTCAGAGAGCAACGGGCACGCCAACAACAGCAGGCAGAAGAACGACGTCTGCTGCTGGAGAAGCAAGAACGGCAGCAACGGCTGCAACAGCAGCAGCAGCAGCAGCAAATGTTTGAACTGAAACAGCGCCAGCAGGAACAAGAGCAGCAGCGTCAGCTGCTTGCACAGCAACACCAGCAGCAGCAGCTGCTAGAACAGCGTCAGGAGAAGGAAGACCAGCGACGCCTGTGGCTGACACAGGAGCGTCCGCAGCCGCAGCGGAGCCTGGACGTGAACTGGAGAGAGAGCAGTGACATGCGGCTGGAGGCGGGCGGCGGACGCCCTTCCAGCGCCCTGGAGGCGACGGTCCGGGCCGCGCCGACGCCGACGGCAGTCACGATCAGCGACGCCGCGCGGGACTGGGGCAGAATATTTGATGTGGACGTAAGCGAGGCGGGCGCGTGGGGACGGGCGCCGACGGCGCGCGCGCCGCAGCAGCGCGGGCCCGCAGCCATCAGCGGCGTCAGCCCTCCCGGCGCGGCGGAGGCACTGGTCCGCGGCTGGGAGGGGGACGGGTCGTGGCGTACGCCCAGCGGACCTGCGACGCCCGTCAACGGACCGACGGCGCAGGAGAGCAGAGCGGCGGACTTCCGGCCAAGCTCCGCCCCGGTCGGGTCCGAGGCTGGTGCGGAGCCGGGCGGAGTCTCGTTCCAGCGGAGCTTCCAGTCCCCGCCGGTGGGGTCGCGCCCGTCGCCGTCTGCCCAGCCGTCTCGGGCCGAGGGTGACCGGCAGTTCGACGCGACAGGGAGAGTTGGCGCCCGCAGCAGCCCCAGCCCGCTGGATGACGAGCTCGAGATCTGCCTCAAGTCCGTCGAGGAGGCAATGGCCTCGCTGCAGGACAGCGTGAATAAAAACGCGAACAGGCGGGAGGCGGCGGCTGACGCAACGCGGCAGAATCTCAACCGCAGCTTTGAAGTGGTGCCGTTAGGTGGCGGTGGGAGCGGGCACTGGCGAAGGAGGAGCTTTGACGGTGCAGAGTTGGAGAACTTCGACAGGAAGAGGATGTGGGGAAAAAACAATGACGACGAAACCGAGGCCGCGGGCCAAATGCAGCTCGTAAAGGTGCGTACAGATTATACATATTTTCTCTTTCCTTGAAGAAGCGTTTAGCATAATGCACGAACTTGTTCAGCCTAATGCATGATCTTCGTGTGTGTGGATTGATGCTTATTCAGTGTGTAAACGAGTCGTGTCGATTATTTTGCTCATTTCTCTTTGAACGAGGCTGACATCGAACATAATCCGCGTATTTTTCCTTTTTTAAGCGAGGGTCCTCGTTGACGTATTATGTTGCTAGAAAGCCAAGGATAGTCACTATACTCGAGTTTCTGTTCGCGCTTGGTAGTTTGTCTTCATGATAGGAGTTTTCCTGCCCATATAATTTGATAAATTATCATAAGCGTAACAACATCTTAAGTGTTGCTGGGTCCGGTCCTGCTCCGGTGCGACATTTTGCGGGGTTAAAATGAACATGTTGCAATTTGTTGCAAATTTACTAAGGTCCTGACTCCGGACTCTCTCGATCTTAGCAACGTTTACGCGAATGCATGCAATATTCAGTTTCAAGCATGAAGGCTTCTTTAACACTGCTACCACGTTTAAGAAGCGAATTACTAGTGCGAATCCTTATTTTCGCTCTTGACATGCAAGGAAGACCACCTTCCTTAATTTTCTTCCTTGCGTGCGTTTTCTTCCTTCCATAACGCATGCTTGTTTTGTGTGTGCCGTACAGTTTTTTTGTGACGTGCGTTGCTGTTTGAACTCACTGAACAGAAACGGATCGCCCATTTAGCACTGACGGCGTTCATGGCGACATTAAGGGACATTAGGCACTGCCCAACCAATTTAAGAGTCCACTTCAGCATTCTTAAAGAAGGTATTGCATGATAAAGCTTCGTTTATCACGACACATTTCAACGCATTTTATACCTCGTGCCGTCTAGATCTATAGTCATCATGTCAAACTTCAAAATTTGCTCCAAACCTTTTCAGTATGACATGCATATCTTCTCGTGGTATTTTAGTTGTATTTACATTTATTTGCCCTATTTAGAAACATTGCCTGGTTACTCGTCAAAACTTTGGGTACTGAGGCATCCTTGCCGAACCTATGCCAAGATTTCGGCCGACAACCTTGGCTAGGACTTAAATTCCTTAAGTATCTCGGCCAGAGATCGGCACTTTATGTCCGGGTATCTCGCATCAGCACCGGCGCAAGAAGATGACGCATTCCAATGTTTCTGGTCCCAATGCAAGTGGCCGGGATACGCAAATCACACATCTGATCGTCAGTTGGAAGCTTTATTAGCTTGAGAGCACGAGGAAAGAAGATCATTGCAGGCCATAGCTATGCATCTGCCTAAATGATCATGTTTCGTTTCAGTTGCTATTTAGCTGTCCTATTAGCTGAGGCCGCCACTGAATATGATTAAGACGCGCTCGTGTAGGGGTCAATTTAACCCCTTCTAGGGGTTTTCGAAAATAGTTTGTGAACGACGCGGCAGAAACGTGCCAAACCTTGTGTATATATAGACCATTGAACGGTGGATCTTTTGACATAAAACAAGTCGATATACTTTGTAAGATCACTGAACTACGCCAGGTCCAATCAGTTCATACCTGGCGACGAAAATAATTGCTATGGAACAAAGCCGCTTTTTTACTGGAAAATTTACTTTCTGAAGTAGTTCGAAGGCTCATTTCGCATTTCTGGATCACAACGAGGTCAAAAGACTTATATTTTTACTTCATTTAAGTCAGGAAAGATCACTGGCCTAAAATGGCCTCGATCGATTCACACCATGTCATGTTGCATGCGTCAGATGTCTTACTACAGCACGCATTGGTCCTGTGTTTCGTTTCGTTTTCGTTAGTTTTTTTTAGTTCTAGTTTTTATTTCGCATCGTGTGGCCTTGCACTTCTTGGCGCGCCGTCCTTGGCGGGCTGATGCGCTTCCAACGTTGTGAGCCGGGCAATAACAGCCAGATCTGTGCGACGCTTGGGTAAACAACAGCCGACGACCAGACCCGGCGACACGGCGTCTGGCAGAGGGCGGACCCCGCGGCTGGCCCCCGACCGGTGACTCACGCGCTGACCTGTGCCAAGTAACTCGCGCGCTGACTTGTTCGGGGTGACTCAGCCGCTGGCCTGTGCTAGGTGACTCACATGCTGACCTGTGCCAGGTAATTCACATGCTGACCTGTGCCGGGTGGCTCACATGCTGACTTGTGCCAGGTAATTCACATGCTGACCTGTGCCGGGTGACTCACATGCTGACCCGTGCCGGGTAGTTCACATGCTGACCTGAGCCGGGTGACTCACACGCTGACCTGTGCCGGGTGACTCACATGCTGACCTGAGCCGGGTGAATCACGAGCTTACCTGTGCCGGGTGACTTGCACGTCGATCTGTGCCGGGTGACTCACCTGCTGACCTGTGCCGGGTGACCCACACGCTGACCTGTGCCGGGAGACTTCGCACGCTGACCTGTGCCGGATGGAGGCCATCTGAACCGGTTAGCTCGGTTGGGCACAGAATGCTGAACTCGGTAGAGCACTGGACTCCTAATGGGAGGACTCTGGTTTGAATCCTAGCAATTCCAAGGAGATAACTGGGGCCGTGACGCACACGTGGCTAAAAGCTAAACACCATCCAGTCTTTGTAAGGACTCCATAACATCTGACTATCGTCGGGGATTTAAACGGCCGAAGTGTTGTACATATTAACGCACCAGACGAGGAGCATAGTCCGTGCACTGACATCCGTTGGACTGAACCTGTCACGGCAAGTTGAATGACTACGTGATTCGAACCTTTCACGCCATCATGATATAGTCATTGTGCGGCATGGTAAGTCCACTCAAAGCTTAAGGTTGTAGGGCCTGATCTTTCATGGTATTGCCATCCAGTCATCCACAGACATGACATCCTGCCTGCTGAGCTAAGCGATTGATTGCTGATCTTATCTGCACCTGGCAGCCTAAACAGAACATCGCCAGGAGGAGTGGGGGCCAGAATGGGATGGGGGTGGGGGGACGCTCCGACGTAGTGGGCTGGGGCCTTTGACATTTGCAAATCAAATATTACGTTTGTCAAAAAGATCACTGGTGTAGGACACGATGGACACCGCTCCAGACGAAAAAAAACGATCTCTGTAGACCCCGAGATAGACCTCGAACTGTAGGCTCTCTCGGTAGACCCCGAGATAGATCTCGAACTGTAGGTTCTCTCTGTAGACCCCGAGATAGACCTCGAGCTGTAGGTTCTCTCTGTAGACCCCGAGATAGACCTCGAGCTGTAGGTTCTCTCAGTAGACCCCGAGGTGACCCCCTTGAAACGTAATGGAAGCTTCTTGGTAGTCCAGGGAGACCCTGTCCTCTGATGATCTGGGCCTCTGGGTCTGGTTCTGGGTCTGGGCCCCTTCTTCAACTCAAGCCTCTGTTTGCCTCAGAGATATTTGGAGTGCCCTTTCTCAGGCGCAGGGCTCGTGTGTCCGCCCGATAGATGTTTGAAGTGCGTGATCCTTTCTCAGGCTCACGCTTCGTTTGTCCGCCCCAGAGACGTCTCAAGTGCGCGACCTTTTCTCAGACACACAGTTCGTTTATCCGCCCCAGAGACGTCTGAAGTGCGCGACCTTGTCTCAGACACACGGTTGGTTTGTCCGCCCCAGAGACGTCCGAAGTGCGCGACTCTTTCTCAGACACACGGTTCGCTTATCCGCCCCAGAGACGTCTGAAGTGCGCGACTCTTTCTCAGACACACGGTTCGCTTATCCGCCCCAGAGACGTCTGAAGTGCGCGACTCTTTCTCAGACACACGGTTCGCTTATCCGCCTCAGAGACGTCTGAAGTGCGCGACCCTTTCTCAGACTCACGGTTCGTTTATCCGCCCCAGAGACGTCTGAAGTGCGCGACCTTTTCTCAGACACACAGTTCGTTTATCCGCCCCAGAGACGTCTGAAGTGCGTGACCCTTTCTCAGACACACGGTTCGTTCCAAGCCTTACAAACAGGGGCCTTCTACAGTCTGAAGACTGCCCTAAGATTCGTTCATGCGCTCTTCGTAATGTTCCTGGTGACTTTGTCATTGTATGACCTTTTCCAGACGATACTGTAGGCGTGCTGCCGAAGGATCCATTCGCAGATCCTGGAATTATTTTAGGCTTTAACTGACACGCACATTTTTGTTGCAACTGCCCTCGTTTTCCCCAGGTGTCTTGAAAAGCTGCGCACATTTTTGTAACATTTTCGATATCGCTCGATTTGCTCCCAAGTTATTGTGAAGATCCCCGTTGTATATTGTATGTCTGCAATGGACTGAGCAAGGCCCTAGAATACATTAAATATCTGGGGAGGAGGCACAACTCCTTAGGTCTCCAATTGCGTACGCATCTGAGTGCTCCATTGAAACTCTACGCTTGTTGTCTGCGGCACGAACAGACTTAACCCACTAACCACTAGCTCCGCACTGGATTAATGATTTCTAGCGTTGCTTAGACGTGTCAAGGTCCAGTCTTTCCTTTTATTGCGATGTGCCTGAATTAGGACATTTGTTTGGTGATCAGAGTGTAACTGTGTATTGCTTAGTGTCTGCTTGAATGGTGTGCGAAGCAGCCGCACTGTATTTTGTAACAGTGTTTTGTCGCTTAGGCTTTCACCCGGCGGCAGTTATTTCGCGCTGGCATCTTTTTGTGTGCAACCTTCAAAAGCCAGTCAAAAAGGAACAAACAGTTAGTTGTTGGCATGCAAGGGCCACATTTTCCCACTGAATCTACATTCCCAGCATTCTCGTTGCTCACGCCGAAATGAAACCCACATTTGGTCCTCTGTCTAGAGTCGTTGAATATTCCACCCCCATTTTGTGGGTGGTTGACTATCGCATTGGGCCAGCAAGAAATTATATCGGCATCGAGTGCAAGCGTGGCGTTGTGCTGTCCCGTGCTGCCCGACCAGTGACGTCACGTGCTGCCTGACCGGTGACGTCACGTATTCTAGGATCAGTCGCCGTCCTTCGGAGTGCTTCGTCCACTGCAGCACAATGCGCGTCATCTGTGGACGCCTGGACAAAACGATAGTTCTAACTGGACTCGCTTGGTGGTCGGAGATTGGCTGCTTGGGACGGAACATAACAGACATGTAAGCAGATCTCTTATTAACATTGTCGTCTCCTGTTGCTTGGTGCTACTGACGCTTCGTGTTCGCTTCGTATGTTTACCAATGTTTGTGCCTTTCTGTAGGCTCATTCTGGGTGAAACATCACAACGTGTTTATTTAAATGATGTATGCCTACATGTTACGTAAGGTGGAAACGCCTCCAACTCAATTTTCTTGTCTTCGGGTGCGATACGCATTGTAAGTGTTTGAACGTGGTTTCGAAGTGTGGAATATCACATGATTATTACGTGTTTTCCATGCAAGCGTGTCAACAGACCGGATATGGGAATGGCTACCAAGAATGGTTTTGTTGTTTAAGAGTCACCTTAACGCTAGTTGGGATCCGAGCAGGTTGATTGCAATGCCGGGTGTTTAGCGCTGAGCTGTTTTTATGTGTTTTTGGATGGGTTTTACATGCGCTACTATTGCTACGAACTGTGATTGATTAAGACTTATTGGAAGAAAATGCGCCTAGAACGATGCACGCCAGGTTAGAGTTGCCCGCATCAACGGGCGTGCGTCGAGTTTTTGGATTGGAATCAGCTGCTTTTCATGCACGTCATTGATCCGATGATTGGCAGCATAGAACAGCCCGGCTAAAGCGGCGGGCATCTGATCGCTTAACCTGCCTCTGAGCTGCTTACGTGAGATAGGTCGAAAACGAACCTGGTCTTGGAGTGTGGTCGCTACGTTTGCCCACACGAAGGCTCATGATAAGTGTTCTCCTTTTTGTACGTTGTTATAATGTCCGCTCCACTTAACATAAGCGTAGCCATGCTCGGCTGACCATGGAGAAACCATGCAGACCGTACAGATCATAGCCATGTAGAAACCTTCAGCCAGTTTTGTTTGAGCAGGACGTGCTTTCCCGCCAAATCGCCCTGTGGGAGGGCCAGCCCGGTGACGGCGACCGGCACCAGGGCGCGCGCGGCATTCGGGCCGCCTCCGTCGCCAGCACCAGTCCACGCACCAACGGAAGACGGATCGGTTACCATGGTGAGCGCCGCACGCTGCGGGACTTGTGTGAGAATGCGGTGCGGCGGGCCACCCGGAGCGACCGCACAGACAGCACGTGACACTAACGCACCCCACATCCCCCCTCTCCCGTGGGTCACGTGTCGGGCAGTTCGTCAGGGCCGCGGTCCCCATTACCAAACGAAGTCCACAAGCTGTCACCTGTGATGTCATGTGTAAGTGCATCACAGCAGCTCCTGCGACTCGGAATAAAGTCACTGATATATGACGAAGACACTTGTGACATCATATGTAGCAACTCACGTAGATACGTTGCCAATGGCGAACACGGTCCAGGTCGACCCGACCACGTGCTGTTTGAGAAGAGGGTAGGCGTGGTAGATACACCACCCCGCTGCGTGCTCTCACCGTACCGGCATCGCCGGCCAGCACGCGCCACTGTGGATGAGCTTTTGCCGTCTTGGATGGGTGGGTTGGTGGGGTCTGATCTGATTTCCGTTTCCTTATGGGTTCTGACTGGTGGTCGTTGTTCTCGTCGTTCCCCTAAATCTACGCAGTTCTGGGAAACATTAAACGTGCAGATTGTGTGTTATGCGTGTTGAAGATATTGTTTTATCCCGATGTGTCTGCTTACACTACTGTCAGCGTCATGTGATGTATCACTGTTCAAATGTCGTTCTATCGTGTTTTCTCTTAAATATTAGTTTGTGAATGGTTGGTATCGTCCAGGGGACAGCGGTGGAATATGTACGTGCGTGTGTGCGTGTTTGCGTTAGTGCGTGCGTGCGCGCGTGCGTGCGCGCGCGTGAGGGCTGGGGGCAACCAGTGTGTCGGCCCCGTACATTAACCCTGTGCTGTTTCAGACAAATAAAAACGGGCCCCCTACATTTTTTTCGGGGGCTCACCGTGACGGCGTCGTCCAGCTGACTTCAAAAAAAATATTAGAGTTCGTGAGGACAGTGCTCGCCTTGCCGCCAGTTCTGAACACCAGTTCCCTGATAATCCCCTGCTCATTCCGTGTCACGATTCTCCAGAATCGGAGGAGCCCGACGCGGACGAGGTGGGCAGCCAGATCAGCCGTATCGGCCATGAGAGCCTGCAGAAACACCGCTACATCACGGACAGGGTGCGTAGCTCCTTACCATCACGGGCAGGGTGCGTAGTTCCGCCCGCGCCGGCGGTCAGTACGGGGCGCACTCTGCCGTCCAAAGGTAAAACCACATATGTTCATTTCTGGTCACTTTGCGTTTTTTTTTGTCATTGATTCATCTTCTTATGCTACATTCGGATATTGAGACCAACAGTTAAGATTTTCGCAAATGTTTAGCTAAAAGAGACGGCCAAAAGTTTGTGGAAACAGCTGATTGCTTAAATAACCGAAATCCGAACGAGTAGAAGAATCAGCTGAAACAATAAACGCAAAATGGTCACAAATGAACACATGGGGTTTTACCTTTGGACGGTAGCGCTCCCGGCGCGCTGGGGGCGAGGAGGCGGGTCACAGCCTCTGAGGAGGGCTCAAGAGGTCTCACTTGAACGTCGACTGCGTAATGGCGACCCGCATGGCTGCGTGAAAACATGTGATTATATCGTGAGCGTTATTAGCGTTCGTCGCCTTTTGAAAGAACATTTGGTGTCAAGGTGAGGGCAGGGCATGCCTAGATTAACGCACAGGATTGCCATATGAACTGAGATTACTGATGTAGGGGCATTTCAAGGTCAAGACCATGTCAGGTCAGATCTTCAAAGCCGTCTGAAGAAATACTGACGGGTGGTGTAAACGGTGCCGATAATCTCGCCCTATGTGCGGTTTGCGAGAGCGCTGTCGTCCGAGGTCATTGCCACTGAGAGAAGTGTAATGGCTTTAGAAGCATCACTTTGACACCTACTTCCTGGAAGAAAGTTGTGCTTTCACTTGAGCCAGCTTAACTGCGAACTGATAGAAGAAAACTGCATTGGAAATGCGACGTGGCCTCCTTTGACTTAGCGTGATGAGTCATCCATAGCAGACAGTATTAACTGTTTTCAAATCCCGTAATAACGTACAACCGAGCACAGGGGGGAGGTCATGCTGTGTTTTCGGTTCACATTAGTTGTGATATCTGCGAGCAAACCAACCTCAGCCGATCCCCTGCCAAATACAGAGCGTGTCTGCCAGCGAGAGCTCACAACTCAACGCAACGTTTCTCGCTCGCGAAATAAGCGAACATGTGCAGCGACGGATGTCAGTTTTGACGATCATTTACTTCGTTGATCATTTGGCCGATGACGATCACACACGACCGCCCGGCAGTTGCAGCCGTCGCCGGCTGGCGCGGGCGCGCGGGACCGCACGGCGCCCGGGAGGCCGGCATCAAGCGCCTCCCACCGGCTGTCGTCACCGCCAGCGGCCGATGGGGTCCGATGGTCCGGTGCGCTGGAGCCACGCGCCGACGGTGGCCGGCCGGCGTCGGCGCGGCTTTCATGGAGGGAGACCCAGCAGCAGCAGCAGCAGCAGCAGCAACAGCAGCAGCAGCAGCAGCAGCAACAGCAACAACAACAGCAACAGCAACAACAACAACAACAGCAACAGCAACAGCAGCAGCAGCAGGAGCGCTGGTACGGCCAGCCGGCCTGGCAGCAGGCGGAGACGGCGCCCAGCGGCCCGCCGGCGGCTGCGCTGGAGTTCCCGTGGTCTGCCGGCTCTGTAACGGGCGGTCAGGTGAAGCGATCGAACACGCTCGCCGAAACACGCGGAGGCTCCGGCTTTGGTCGCCGTCCCACGCTGAGCTCGTACCCGAGACATAGCAGCACTCTGCCGGCGGGCCAGCAGCCGTGGACGCCGCCCGACGACAGGTTTGCGAAACAGTGGCGTGATGGCAGCCTGTCGCCGACGGCGTCGCAAGCTTCGACGATCACGCCGCAGATGGCAGCACCAGGTGGACGCTGGGCGGCGCCATTGTCGCCCAGTGGCTCCGTGGTCAGCGTCGACTGGAACCAGCTGTTCGACACCAGCAGCGAAGTATCGAGGTGAGCGTGAGCACGGCGCCGTAGAGAAAGCCTCAGCATGTGGTCCTGGAGTAACTGTGGCCACATGCCGAAGATGAGAAGCTCTTGTAACGAAAACACGATCGTTATTCGATTCTGAGTAAACATCTCGGCAAAAGCACCTTTAACCTCCGTTTCATTAGCATAGGGCATGCTAGAACACTAAAACCGTTGGCCCTCCTTGTAAATGTGTTGCTCTTGTGAACTAGTTACAACTGGAAAAATGTGTGTGAAGCGGTCCTAACCGTAGGGCCGCATGAAGGCATACAGCTGCAGTTGCCTCCCCAAACTCCAACCACTCTCACCACTTCCACTTCTCTCAACACTCATAGGCGGATCCTGGGCGGGGGGAGTCACGGGGCCATGGCCCCCCAAAAACTCTGAGAGTGTGTTTTGCCCCCCCCAAAAAAACCTTCCCAAAAGTTTTTTTTTGGCAATTCACCGTCCGTTTTAACTTTTGATAGTGCGGTATGAAACATTTCTTTTCGTTTCGGAAAAAAGTTCATGAAGAAAAGTTGGCAGCAATTTGAATATACAAAACGCATGCTGGACCTCGGATCCCGCACCAAGCAGCTGGCGACGAACGGTTCCCCCCCCAAAAAAAAACAACGCCAAGGTAGATCCGCCCCTCTCAACACCCCACCAGTTCACTACTCCACCACTTCACCAATTTCACCGCTCCAACCACTCCAACCACTCGCACCACGCTAACCGTTCCACCATACCAACCACTCCCACCACTTCCACCATGCCAATCATTCCCACTATTTCCACCACTCCAACCACTCCCACTACTCCAACCACTCCAACCACTCCAACAACTCCAAGAACTCAAACAACTCCAACCGCTCCCACCAATTCCACCACTTCCACAAACTCCACCACTCCCACCACTCCCACCGCTCCCACCACTCCCACCACACCCACCACTCCCACCACTCCCACCACTCCCACCACTCCACCACTCCGTACACTTACCAGCGCACGTGACCCGTCACCCGTCGGCCCGCCTGTCGCTGCCGCAGCGTGCTGGACGACGAGCTGAGTTCGGTGGCGAGCGACGCGGCGCGGCGGCCGCTGAGCCGGGCGGAGGTGGTGCGCTGGTACCAGCAGCACCAGCTGCCGCGCGGCGTCGGCGTCGACGCCCTCACCGGCCGCGCCGCGCCCTGGTTCCACGGTAAGTCCTGGCTCCACGGGTGGGGAGCGCTGAAGCCATGGCTCGTGGGAGGTCCGCTGCTGTTGGAAAATGATGTTTTAGCATTACTGATTCAAAGTTCTGATGTGAAAGTTGTGATGCGATGCGAAGAGTTCATGACCGTCATTATGCCAAGAGGTGCTGGGTAAACGACTTTGTAGTGCTAAATTGATGGTTTCATCGTCAGTTGTCAATATCTTGTCGATTATATTGTCAATGTAATCGGTTCTCAGCACTACAAGCCGTATAACCAGAATCTCGTAGTATATTGAAGGTTGTTAACATCATGCATATATATATATATATATATATATATATATATATATATATATATATATATATATATATATATATAGACACATATTCATAGTGCCGAACAGCAAGATCTGAGGCCTTTTTTCACATAACATGATGTTTCAGCCGTCGTAAGGTAAAAAACTGCGATTGTGCAATAAGTGAGATGATTTAACATAGATGAGTCATAGATTCGCCTTCGCGCGCCTGCGTGTGCCCGGTGTGTGCTGTCTGCACCTGAAGGCGCCACGCTGCCTGCGGTGCTCTCCTTGTGTCCCTCGGGCTCCGCGTCCCCGGGCGCCGCGTGACCTGGCGTTGCCCGGCGGCCAGGTCTGGTGGGCCGGGGCGAGGCCGAGCAGCGCCTGCTGCCCTGCCCGCCGGGCGCCTACCTGGTGCGGTGCTCGCTGCGGATCTGGGGGTACACGCTCTCGTACCGGGCCCAACAGCGGTGCAAGCACTTCCTGGTGGAGGCAGCCGACGTCGGCTACCGCTTCTACGGAAACCCGGACAGATGTTTTAGAACGCTCGGTGAGTGAGAGATGTTACACCCCTCCACCCTCTCCACTCATCTCCCCCGCTCTACGCCCTCCCCCTCTATTCCATCTATCCCTCTGCCCCTTTCCCCCTTCCCCTTTAACCCTCTACTCCTCTTCCCCCTTACCCCAGGCGAACGCCCGACTCGACGGTAGACAACATGGCCTGCATGTAGTGTCCTGTTACGCTTCAGTTTCCAAAAACGCGTGTGCAATTCCTGTGGCATACGCGGTCGCACGTTTTTAAATGGTTGCGCACAGATAGAGCTCTGGTTGCGTGCGGTATATCCTCGCATATATCCAGTGACGGATGCCACCACGCATGGATAGACGACGGTCTGTCCAGGTGTGGAACAGGAGCGCCATGCCTTATTGTCTCTGATCCGCCAAAGCCAGTCTTTTCGTTTTCGTCGCATTCTGAGTTCGTGTACTGAAACCGTGCTGACCGAATATGACGGAACAACAATTAAACCGGGAGATATTGTGTAAGCGGCGATGTGTAAGTCAAACAGCCGTAAGGAATGCCATGAGAATATTCCATGTCTCCAGGAAGTGCCACTGGTCGCGGATTGAGGCGAGATGCTTTTAGTGGGGTTTTCACAGTTATGTACAGGAACGGCAGCAGCTACGAAGTTCCACGAAAATGCATGACATAGGGTTTTAAAAAATCAAAAGATTTAAAATGCTCTGCAAAATGCGAAGGTAGGGTCAAAGTCCTCATCGCAGATGAAATGACTCGTCGATAGAGTGTTCTCGCGACACATCCTAGTCACTGCAGGCTATCATCACTAAACCAGCGCCCGATGGCTATTGCGCGCTGGTTTTTTAACATAAGAGCTATAATTTACTATGCCTTTATTTTACAGAGGAAATGGTTGTGTGCTTGAAAGCGCCTTTTCCAAATGCCTGAAAGGCTTTCGCTCTCCCATCAAATAAGTGTTGGTGGATTCCCCTCGCTTCTAACGATGCGTGACTAGAGGCATATTTGAGTGTCGGCTACGGTGGCATATGTACGACACGTAATTTGTCACGGATGTGACATCCTTTCTAGAAAATTACGCTCTATTTTAGGCACCTAGAAGAAAGTTTTGAGTGTCCCCTCTACTCCAGGCGCGGCATGACACGAATTTTGCCCGAAGGGGGACCTAAGCGGGACATATGGGTCCCTCTGTCACTATTGAGATCCATTTTCGTTGAAAAACTGTTTCATGCTTGCTGACTCCACCCTATGTTGGTGCGATGGGAGCCGATCTTTTTCGTTTAGAAGTCCAGAACATGGTAAGAAGTGGAAGTATGGAATCTAAAGCCTGGAGCCTTCGGTGCCAGGGGGCGCTATCTGCAGGGGGGGGGGGGGGTATAGCCCCAAAGGCGTCCCCTTGGATACGCTACTGCCTGAACGAGAACAGAATATATCCTGTCTGCAGCACAACACGCCTACTAGCGAGAAAGCAGGACCATGATGGTGTGTAGTGACACGTCCTTATCATGAATTTAGGTGTGCGATGGGATAAGTTGTTTGAAGTGAGGTCACTCCTTTTCCCCATGGCTGATGTACCCCCTTGACACTCTGCGTTATGTTCGCTTTGGAATAGGCGGTTCTGCCCCTTTGACTCATTTCGGCGGTCTCCATTCTCTTGCAGATGAGCTGCTCCGGTACCACACCATGCAGCCAATCACAATGCTGGGGGCGGAGCTTCTTCTCTTCCCTTGCACCAATCACACCAACACATCTGCATCTCAGCTGGTGGCCTGAATGCGAAAAAGAACGGCAGCTAAACTTCACTGCGCTTCCTCCGAACGCGAGCCCGAAATTTGTGCATACATTTAGATAGATTGTTACGAACTGTTTTTCGTGCAATGTCGTCTAGTCTGCCGGAGAGCATGGCTGTTGTACCCACGTGACCGGACACGTGACTCGCCCTCGAAACGTGCACACAATTTGAACTCTGAGACACTTTCGCTAACTCGGCTAACCTGCGTCACGAGGTCAGCACGAGGTACGCTATGAAGTACCGATGCACACGTCTGTTGGGCGAGTCCATGTTGATACCGCTGGCGCGATCGTGCGCCGCTGTGGGCGTGTCTTCCAGGAGATGGGCGGTTTCGTGAGTGTCTCGTATTACGGCTTCCTAACGCCCGCGCGTGTAGCATGATCATCGAGCTTCATGTTCGCAACCTTAACAACGCGCTATCGTGAGCACTAACGACGAGTTTTTTGTCTATGAGCTGAGCTTGCTCCTTGTACACGTGAATGTCGCCGCCTGTTTTGTTTAGCGCTGCGTCGCGCCTGGTCACGTTGTTCCTACCGTTCAAACGCCGTGGCTGCTTCCCGGCTTCCATGAGTGCAGCCGTAACTCCCTCTAAAAAGCTTCTAGGTGGGTGACCGGAGCGTTTTGTGATCCATTTGTTAGCGTAAAACGCTCTGTAGCGGTTGTTAAAAGCGCCACGGATCGTCGTCTTCTGCGGAGCAGCAAAGTTGCCGGGAGAGCTGCAAACGGCGCTGAAGGTCAGGGCAGCGGCAAACTGTTAAACAGTTGTCGGCATGTACGGCTTGTCGCTTGTTCCCATGGCAATACACAAAGACGCATTTGGCACTGTTTCCTTCCGGCTGCCGAAAACTACCCGGACGTCGAGAAGGTACTGGCCGTACCTGGACGTGTGGTCGTGCCGACGACGAGGTGGCGGATCTCAGCTAGTGGCCAGTGTCTGAGCGCCCGCTGGAAGCCGATGCCAACCCAGGCTTGTCGGGGACGTCGCAGACTCGGTGATCCACGCAGTCAGAGCTGAGGGAGAGCCGCTCGGTGGCTCGGTGGTGAGAGCCGCTCGGCGCCGCGATGACGCCGCCTTAGTGTTGATCTTTGCATTGACCTTGCATGAAGGTGGTGGGGAACAAGAGGACCAGGGACGTGGTCCCGCAAAATAATTTGGTTAACTGTGGGGTGAAAATGATGAGACCTGCCTTCTCCAAAAACATTGCGCTGACAAACGGGTTCACCTGTTTTTGTTTTTTTGTCACATTTTCTTCTCAACATTGGGAGCCGGAGCCCAGTTAGGGGAAGGAAGTGGCACTCAAGCCAGCCCCCCACCTCCTTCAACTGAAAAGGGTTCTACATCCCTGCAAGAGACGTTCTGGTAATCTGATACATGTATAAGCTGACCGTGTACATGAACAGAACTGACACACACATGCATATATAATGGCATGTACAGCCTCGAGAAGGCGTGTGCCCGCCTCCTCGCGGCTCATGTGGAAGTTATTTGCAATTGACATTGATTTTCAAATGCGCGGTAGCCGGTACATCCATACCATGCGCACATCTGTTTGGAGGTCCCCAGTTACCCGTTCACTTTCGCTCTTGACCTTGTGCTGACCGGGCCCAAGAGGGAAGGTCGCCAACACTCACATCACGCCAGTTTTCAGGAACGCGGATACTGAAAAGAAGTCGCAGAAGCTAAAGAGGAGTTGGAGGAGGGGCGGAACGCATCTGGAATATTTATCTTGCCACGCAGAGCCATAGGACTTATGGTTAAGTGGCATCTGAAATTTGAGGGGCAAATTTTGGATTTACCCAAGATTTGGAAAGCCTTCTCCGCCAGGACGGGGACGACGCCAGTCCGCTGCATCAGTGGTCCACGGCGGGGGGCGGCGCACGTGACGTCCGTGACGTCTCCACCAGAAGGGGGGGGGGGGGGGGGGCGAGGACGGCAGGGGGAATCGCTAAGTAGTCAAACCATGTCTGAGGCAAGAAATGCGACCGTCCAGACAGCGTTCACGGGGAAGCGATGGCTGAAAGGTTGCGCTTTCACGGACATAGCCATGTGCTTTGTGCTGGACCGAAGTTCTGCTGTAGCAACCAAAACAAGGGCGACAAGGGAAACAACAAAACAACGTTCCAGTGTTTTTAACTAAAGATTCGGTGCGAACATTTTGAATGGGGTGTACTTCTAGGATCAGACCTCAAGTTAAGCTGTGCTCGTTGTGTGAGCCCCGATTTCTCCACTGATCGTGAAATTCCAGGTCAGCGACAGAATATTGTAGCAGACGTTAAACTTGTCACAGTGCTCGGCGTGGTGCGCTCCGCCCTCTGACGTCACCTGACCTTCAGGTCAGCCAATACCATCGGCCAGAAACCATCCCAGCCAGGGGAAAAGCAAAGCGTGATGGTCAGCTACGAGTGTGAAACAGGGGCTTCAACTTTGTGATTTGATTTTTTACGTTACCATTAAATGGTTTTTGGTGCGCGAACACAAAATTAAGTTGCAAGTTTGTTAATGATTTCGTTTGGTAAATGTTTATAAGTCAAAAAGTGGAAGGAACTGGCGTTAAATGACTGCATGAAATAGCCCACCGGCGCTATTCATTTCGCAATGGTTTAGCGGACCCTTTCTAAGCCAGTGACACTCCGCGGCTTTACCAGTTTTCTGATGGGCTGTTGTAGGTCGAAATGGGGTCAAATTTTTTGCCCGACAGGGCCAGCCCATTTTAGTCTGGTTACGTTCAACCGTCAGTTAAAATCGACTAGCGAGACAAATTATTTAACATAGTCTTGATCATGCGCTCGCAAGTCTTCCAGAAAAAAATATAACGTACGGCATTGCAGTCTCCGTAGACTGCACAGCCTTCCTCCGGTAGCTAACACCAGGCGCCTGTTAGCGGGCGGTTGAAATGATGATGAATCTGAAATTAGAGCCTCTGAACGCTTTAGGACATCAATCTATTTGTTCAACAGGTATTCCTGGCGTATATTTCACCTGTGCGATTTTTGTGTTCATAGTTAAAGCGGATTAGCATCTACACAGCACCGTGAACTGGTGCTGGAATCTGCTGCCCGTGGAACTGGAATAGCAAAAGAAGAATTTCGGTTTTAAGTGTTGCTGTAATCGTTCATCCGTTCAAAGGGCAATATAAAAGCTTTAAAGGTGAAATAATACGCGCCCATTCTAATCCTTGAACGGCACGAGTTGATTTTGAAAAAAACAAGTTTAATTGAACGAAAAATGATTACTTTATGGCAGTCGTTCTCGCTCTCGACCGGCGTCCGCCGCTCGGTCTTATCTGCACCTGTTAACGCCGTTGGATTTTACGGACGGATCCTTACATAGATGTCATGGTGCATGAACGCTTCCACCTGCTCGGGGTCATCCTGGGGTCATGCCCGTCTCCTTACCGGGCCCCACATCCCGCTGACCGTCCGTGGCTGCCGATCGGGTCGGGGCCTAACTGTGACACTGTGGGGGGCATCAGAGCAAGTCTCGGCTCCTGACAGAAGCTGTTCAGTCCTGGCGGCACTGTTGCTTCTCAGGAGGGTCGGCGTACGATGCTGGCCCGGGGCCGGGTGAGTGAGAGCCCACACACTGAATACTGCTTTTGAAAACTTACGCTGAATTTTCTCTGGGAAGGATGCGGCGCTGTCTACACTCTCAAACAAGTTGCGAAATATTTGAAGGATATGGCGCTGCCTCCACTCTGAGGCATGTTGCGAAAAAAGTATCACCTGAAATCAGATTGCCATGGGATGAGGCCACGGAGAAGGGCATCTTCCAGGAGCTGGCGTTCTTTCTAAGTTAAGTCGACGAACTGAAACACCAAAATCGTCCCAAATTTATACGAATTAAATTCTGTAAATACATACATTAATGCTAAAGCAACTCAGACGTCCTCCTGCTTTTTTCCACCTGAGGGCTCTGTAGAAGAAGTCCATGCGTTAGAGTTTTTAGTTGGTATCGCCCATGACAGGGGCGTCAAAAACTAAAAAAGACCGAAAAACTGCAAAAACTGCCGTTACCAAGCGCGCGCACCAGCAGGCGCCATCCGCGGCTGCCGTCCCGCCCGCCCGCCAAAGACCGTGTAACGAACACCATTCTCCGCTACCGGGGCGATTGCGCGCGGTCGGCCCCCGCTCCCCCCCCCCCCCTCCCCCGTTGCCTCTCCCCTCGCCCCTCCCCCAGCCGCCTCCTCCCGCGCCTCGCCTCCCCCCGCGCCCCGCGGTCCTGCTCCCGCGACATCAGTGCATCTCACACCGGCTCCTATCGCCCTCCCATATCGCACAAAAACGGCGAAACGCATTCTTCCAGTCATCAGTGACGTCAATGGGCACGCATTGACGTCACTGGGGTCGTTTACTATTCCCCGGCCGGGCTGCGCCGCCCTCGGGCCGTTGGCAGTCCACGTGACGGATGGAAGGGCCGGGTGGAAACGATCGTATCACGCGCCGGCCCGGCCACCGAAACGGTTTTCGCCACGTCATGCGAACTGTTTGCGGGGATGGTTTTGGAACCGGTGCTCCTGTATGACGTGTTGTGTTGCGAAGAGGCTGATCCCGCCGCCCGAAAGACAATGGCGGTTCGCAGGCAATTTTTGCCGGGAAGAGGAATGAAGAATTTTCAGCCTGTGATGCCACGCCTGGACTTGGGCAGCCTCGCCAGCCCGACCTGGCGACTACCTCGTCGACCGAAGCTGAGGCGCCGCTTAAGCGCCGTGGCTGAAACGCGGGCCGATATGTAGGTCAGACGGAGGTCACATGTCAGCTGCCCTGCCAACCGAGTCATGGAAACGGCATACGGGGCGCTGTCCGCTGCGCGTCACGGTGCTTGCGCGAGACACAGCACAGCACGTGGTGCAGCGCAATACGTGGCACAGCGCAGCACACATGGCATAACGCAACAGAATACAACACAGCACCTTTGGCACAATATAACACATATGGTACAACTCAACACATGTTACAGTACAACACACGGTACAACACAACGTGCATGTCACAACACAACTTCATGGCACAGCACACATAGCCCAGCGCAACACACAAATAACTACATAACACACATCATGCAACACAACAAACATGTCACCGCATAACACACGTGGCATAACACGGCACACATATCACAGCACACCACACGTAACACAACACAGCACACATAACACAACGCAGCACTCATGACGCCACGCGACAAACAAAGAACTGCGCTCCACAGCCTGGCGTCCGTCTCAGCGCCCCACTTAATAGTGTACCAGCAGTGGAGTACTTAGCAGAGTACACTACTTAGGAGCATAACCACACAGGCACTGCAACGTCGCCCAGCCCCGGCCGGCCGGCGCCGCTGCCGCGCCCGAGCGCACCGGGCACGGCGCTCCCGTGTCCGCGAACGTGCCCGCGAGGCCCCGTGTGACGCCGCGTGGTGCTTGAATACAGCTGATGTTACACCATCGCGCGTTTGTGGCCTTCGACCCGACGCTTAGGCCACGGATCTGACGGACGCCGGACACGTCAGTACACATCTTACTCCACAGGGTGTCACGCAGGATGCAGAACTGGATCCATCACGTGTGATGAGACTTTGATTTCCAGCCAGGAAATGAATGCGTGCATTGTGTTCGTTCGTTAATGTGGATTTATGTGAGTACGGGGATAGTGCTGGAGGCACAAGACAGCATTGCTGCACCGCATCACCCCAGATCACAACACGGGGATAGTGCTGGACACATGAGACAGCACTGCTCCACTGCACCACCCGAGATCATAACACTGGGGCAGCGCTGGACACATGAGACAGCATTGCTCCACTGTACCACCCGA